TATCACACCCCAAATTCATTATAATGCTGCAAAAGATCAACTTAAGGGCTTCACAAGTGATGGAAAGAAAATAGCAGACCATGTTCTGGTCTTTATGGTTAAGGGAATACGAAAAAAATTCAAGCAGCCCATTGCATATTATTTTACTAATGCATTAAATAAGTTGTGTTTGAAAGAGATTATACATAAAGTTATAACTTATGTTCATCGCACAGGACTGAAAATATTGTGTACTGTCTGCGATCAAAGTACAGTGAATGTCAGCGTAATAAATGAATTAATAAATGATACAAAGAATAAACATTTGAGGGAAGGAAAGGAATGGAAGAAAGACATTTTTGAGGTAGGGAAATCAAAAATAATCCCTCTATTCGATGTCCCACACCTATTAAAGGGTGTGAGAAATAATTTGCTCTCAAAAGATCTAAAATACTTTGATTTTGAAGAGAAATGTGAAAAAACCTTAAAATGGGAATTTTATAAGAAAGTATATGAAGCAGACAAATCATATGGAGAACTAAAACTTCTACAAAAACTCACAGATGAGCACATTTATGCAGACAAAATAAAAAAAATGAAAGTTAAAGCTGCTGCTCAAGTTTTTAGTCACAGTGTTGCTGTAGCTGCTGAACATCTGTCCGCAAGAGGCGACATCCCGGAAGAATGCCGAAATTTGATCAAATTTACCAAACTAATGGACAATCTCTTTGATTCTCTTAATTGCAATTCATTCAATATACCTAATGGCAAAATTTATAGAGGAAGTGTACGGAGAGCCTCCCCTCACCATGATTTGTGGAAGAATGCCATAATTTTTTTAAAATCTGTAACTTTTGTTAAAAAGATAAAAAAAGGTAATAAAATCCATTTAATTGAAACTAAGGCAATACCATCTATAAATAACTTTATACGCACAATTGAAGGTATTCAACATTTGTGGATTTTACTCTCACAGACATATACATTTGATGCAATGCTGACAAGAAATTTCAACCAGGATCCACTTGAAAACTTCTTTGGAAATATAAGAAGTTATGGGGCCAGAAATACCTCACCAGATACAGTGGCCTTTGAAGGTGCTTTTAAATCATTATTAATAAATAATTTTAACTCACCCCATTCACTTCACGCAAATTGCGAAAGTGATGACAACTATTGTTTACAAAACTTAGATTTTTTTATAAAAGATAATACGTTGTCAAATGCTAAAATACCAACTGATAAGACACAACAATTTCCTCAGCCTGAACAAGACGAAATTGTTATACCTTTTATCGATTTAAGTAATAACACAGCAGATGCTGGTCAAGGTAATTATGTATGTGGGTGGATTCTGGGTAAATGTATTAAAAATGTTACAAAAGCTTGCTCAGTTTTTTTTTTTTTTTTTTTTTTTTTTTTTAATAATAATAATGTATTTTATTCAATAATTGTTACATTAGATTGTTTTGAGACCACCCCAATAAGTAAATTGAAGTTACTCGTGTTGGGGGTGCCTCGCTCATCCTTTCATGCATTAATCTAAAAACATTAAAGTTAACATAGATTCTTTCTTTCTCTTTCTATCTTTCCCAGCTCTTTTCTTGTATGTATGCAGGTGTATGTATGAGAGTATGTATGTATGGATGTGTGTGAATTTTGTGTGCACATGAATATTTGTAACATAATTAGTGTTTGTGTGTTGTTATGTGTATTTGTATGGGTATGTATGGAAATAAATTAACAATTATATTTACATAAAAGTGTTTCAGTTTCATCATAGTTGAGAGTCTTTAACCATTTTACTATGGAATCTTTACAAGTAGAAGAATTCATTTGGAAAATATTTAATTTTGTATTTAATCTATTGTAAATTTTAGTTGACTGACAAATGAACTGACGCTCAGCAAATGCTGTTCGCATCTGACGTGGTTTTATAGCTACCTCTTTTCGTCTTTTACTTGTATTTACTACTTTGTAAGGTAATGTTTTGTGTACACATAATATTGTATTCGTTATATATAATTGTCTGACTGTCAAAAGACCACAAAGTTTATATAGACTAGTTGTAGGGTATCTATACGGTTTTGAGTACATGACTTTTAGGAGTGATCTTTGTGCTCTCTCTATGTCTATAAATTTAGTTTTAGTTGTACCGCCCCATATAGTAATACAGTAAGTAATCACTGACTGGGCTAAGGCTACATAGACGGTGTTCAGTATCACCGCGGGCATCAAATTCCTTAACATTTTAAAAATCCAAATTAGTTTCCTAATTCTGGTGACGGTTTGATCGATGTGGTAATGCCAACATAGCCTTTGGTCTATCCAAACGCCAAGGTACTTTATGAAATTGACTTTTTTTAGCACGGAACAGTCGCAGTTGCTACTATTAGAATCGTCACATCTATGTATCCTCAGATGGCAGGTATTTATATCTGGCTGTGTTCTTTGGTTCGGTGTAAAGCATATATAGTTGGTTTTTGCAGTGTTGAGAGTAAGAAGGTTAGTGTCAAACCATCTCGCCATTTTTGCCAGTCCCAGTTCAGCGTTTTTCTTTACTTCGACCCAGGATGCTCCAGAGAAAACAACAGCAGTGTCATCCGCATATGAGAAAGTATCACCATTTTGATGTCTCATATTACACAAGTTGTTTATGTAGATAAGGAACAATGTTGGTCCGAGAACGCTTCCCTGAGGAACTCCAGTTACAACATGTTCTTCGTCACTGACATAACTCTCTATTCTAACCTTTTGTCTTCTTTCCTGAAGATAACTTGTAAACAGAGAAAGTGGTGTGCCCCTTATTCCAATTCTTTCTAGTTCGTGCACAAGTATATGGATAGAAACGGTGTCAAATGCCTTTTTTAAGTCTAGGAATACCGCCACGCACTTATTGCCGCTGTCCACAGTGTTCACTATTAAGTTAGTTAGGTCTTTTATAGCATCCTGTGTTGATAAATTCTTCCTAAACCCATACTGACTATTAGATATAATATTATATTTTTGCAGATATCTTGTGAGTCTTAAATTTAATAATTTTTCAATGATCTTCGATATTCCAGACAGTACCGATATTGGCCTATAGTTATTGACGATGCCCCTATCTCCATCCTTGTGCACAGGGGTTATAATCGATAGTTTAAGAGACTTCGGAAATACTCCAGTTTTAAAACAGAGATTTGCAAGTTGGGTTATTAAGGGTACCACATAATCCCTAGCATGTTTCAGAAACTTTGTAGGGATACCGTCCCACCCTGTTGCGCTATTAGAGTCAAGATTCATGAGTACACTGTTTACTTCTTGTGGATCTGTATCTAGAAGCACAAATGATGAGGTTGAAAAAGACAAGCTTGTTGCAACAGTAGAGATTAACTTTTTGGGAGTGGTAATTTCATCTGCTAAGATCTTGCCAATATTTGCAAAAAACTGATTCACTCTGTTGACCGAGTCGATAGGGTTAGATGTTATTTTTAAAAGATCCCTATTAGTATTTTTGGGGGGTTTGAACTGAGTAATGTCAGTGATGGCTGACCATAATTTCTGTGTATTTCTCTTAGCTTCCATTACTTTATCCCTATTATATTGTCTTTTAAGTCTTCTAATTAAGTTAGTGCAATAATTACGGAAACGTTTATAGGTTATTTTTAATATTTCGTTGTGTGGTTCTAATTTCATCTTATGATTCATGCTATTTCTTAGCCTAATGCATTTTAGAGCTCCCTTTGTTATCCATGGTTTTAATATTTTCTTTCCACTAGGAATTATTTTTAATGTTGTATTAGATGTAATAGCTGTCCTGATCCTGTCGATTAGAATGTTTGCAAAGTTATCAGGTTCGTAAACTAAATCAAAATACGAATGGTCGATTTGCATAAGAGATTTATATGCTTCCTTATAATTAGTTACGTTTTTGTACTTCGGTTTTGGGTCATTAGAAACTTTATTTCCGATGCTCAGAATATCAAGTATTACCATTGCATGATCAGTGATTGTACAGTTTAGCACCGTAATAAATGCAGAGCAATATTTTACATTCAGTTTCATCATCACGTGATCAAGACAGCTATCATCTCTAGTTGGTAGACAATGCCCGGGAAGAACACTGTGCATAGATAGCATGTCTAAATACGATAACCTATTTTTTCGGTCAGTGGATTTTTCGTTCGGTTTTTGAATTAAGTTAATATTGATGTCCCCTATAATTATGATGTTTTGGTGATTAGATATAGTTTCTAGATGAGAATTAAGTGAGTTTATAAAATTTTCAGCATTAATGTTTGATGGAGAGCGGTAAATTCCCAATATTATGTGTGTAGGTGTAACAATTTGAAGCCCGGAGGCTTGTGATAAATTTATTTCTGTTACAATAACATCTATGGTTGTCATGACATAAGCCACAACACCATCATTTTGGTTATAAAGATTTTTAGTGTAGTGTCCCGTATAATTGCCTATAATTGGAATTTTTTTATTAGCATTCAGCCTGCATTCTGTCAAGATAAGTATATCAATTTTATAGGGTAGCTGTGTTAAGTTAACTTGCAAGTCATCCATGTTCTTATATATACTTCTTATGTTCTGTGTTATTATAGTTAAATTGTTTTCTTTTTCTCTGTGTATATATTTAAATAGGTCCTCTAAGTTGCAAGATGTGCTTTTTGCTATTTCAATGTTATCTATTTCGTGCATAATATTAGAGTTTAAATCCATGATTTTAGTCTAATTTTGTTCATATGGTCAAAACAGAAGGATATTAAATAATTATTTAAACTAATATAAGAATACAAAATATGTACACACAGAAAAACATTTATATTGTCAGTTTTTTGTATTTTGTATGTAATTTTGTGTTTATTGTAATTGGCGGTTGTGTAAGTGAATGTATTTTGAGCTTGGTTACATTTGGTTAACAACTTATGTACTTTTTTTAAGGCAAAAAAAATAAAAAGTAAATTATTAATTATACACTTAAATGTTAGGAGTAACAAAATCATGCAAAATTTAATTATTTTATATAGTCATGGCTTTTGTAGTAGTTGATGAACTTGAGGTTCAGTTGTAACTTGTATAATGCGAGAGCTTTCATCTTGTCTAACAAATACCTTACCAAAAGAGGTCCAGCAATATTTATAGTTTTTCATCTTCACTAAGTCTCGTGCTAGGAAAAATAATCGCGCAGCTTTTGAAGTTAATTGCTCAGTTATATAAATTGGGTTATGTTCATTTATAGTGAATCCGAGATGCATTGCTTGTAATTTGGATTTGTTTTTTGAATTAAACAATTTTATCTTCTTGAGTAGATCAATCTTCAAAAGGGTGGATCCGAGCTCCAAAATTATAGGCGGGTTGTTTACCCCTCTTTCTTTTCTTTCTGATAATCTAAAAATATCTTTGATATCTTTAACATCCATTACGAGATCAACACTTTTTGCAAGGCACATCACCATTTTTAATAAATCCTCTCTCGATTCCTGTTTGTTCTTAGGAGCATTTTTTATTTCAATGGAGGTCTTTCGGCTTGAGCGTTGCAAATCTTCTATTTTGTTCTCGAGAATAGAAATATACTCGCGGTCTTGTTTAATTTGTGACTGAAGTAATTCAATTTTTTTGCAAAAGTCTTCGTTTTGTTTAGTTAATAGCATTACTGAATTATTGATACTATTGTTTGTATTTTGTATTTCTTTTAAATCCATCAAAATACTACTTATTTGATTTTGTTGTGCATTCATAAAGCTAGATATTAATTCTCTCATTTCTTCTTTAAATTTGTAAAATTCTCCCGGTAAATCTTCCTCCCTTAATCTTTTGTTTCGTTGTGATGACTTCTTAGTCGTATTTTCATTACTGCCTTCACTTAGATTGGATTCAGACATTGATTTATTCATGATATAATTTCTATATTTTATGAAGTCAGTTTTCGTCGAGCCGTTGATTTGTTTTTATTTCTAGCTTAACGTAACAAGATACAACGTAACGAGCGGATATAGCGGACCCTGTGATTGTAGACAAAATATGTATGGTGACCCTGAAGCCAAATCTAATGCATATATTAAGGCAAAAGAATATAAGGAGGGCAAAACCTCATTACTATATCCCTCTAAGGATATGGAAAAATGTTTTGTACAAATACAAAATTTAGTGTCAGCAATAATAAAAAAAGATGTGCCTAAAAAGCAATTAAAAGCCAGAATAAAAATGTTTACAGACATATTTGTTGATTACCCTTTTAATTGTGCAATACATAAAACTATATTAAAAGATTATTTTGAAAGTATATTAATAAATGTTCTCGTTTATAGTTGGTGCCGTACAATAAATAAAATTCTGTCTGGCAAAATCACATATCATGGTGATGACGAAATAAAATTATCAGCACAACAATATTATAACAAGCATAGATACCTTTTCAAACAAATAAATAAAATGTAAATTTAAAATTTGTATTTTATTTTCATACCCAAGTTTCTTACTAATTTAGTTGTTTTATATTTGATGAAGCTATGCTAATTCATTTCTATTTTAGAAATAATGTAGTATTACTTCACAAATATATGACAAGTATATTAGTAAGAAACTACATACCTAATTCACTTATTATTAAAACCTATATTCTGTGCCTAAACGTAGATACGTAAAAGCTATAGAAAATTATAGTTTTCGGATGCTGTTAATAGATGTCGCTACTGTGGTCAATTGACATTAGAAGTCAACAAAAAAGTTCGCGATTGAGCTCTCTATACCCCAACCTATTATTATTCCTCTATGCTTAGCTACGTGTTTACAGAAACGAAACGCAACTATCATTTGTTTTGCTTTGTTGATATTTTGTGCTTAAGACGCTATTCAGTTTTTAAACTTTTTTTTGTGTATTATTTTCGTATTTGTTAATTAATAATGGAAAAACAAAAACGTGAAAGAAGTGTGAATTTTAATCAAGAAGAAACAAACGGAGCTTCTTTACTTACTAGTTAACGGAGATTTTTTACTAAATAGCCCGTTGTAGTTTTTATATCACTTTCTATTAACGATAGAATATAAATAACAGCCCGCTTGGTAAGCCGAAATTGATTTCTAAAATCTTGATCGTCAAGTGATTCTCAATAATTAGATCTAGGGTTAATTACTCGATTCCTACGGGGTCGCGTAATACGTTCGAAATATTCATCTAATTCTTCTAAAAACTCAAATAAATCCATTTTAGAATATTTGTGACACTTGTGACTTCAATCGACGCAAAGCACACAATAATGGTCTAAAACTAAAACTATTTTCGTTCCCGTCAATTGAAACTTTTTTTTTATCTATCAGATAACGTCTTTATCAGCCACTTGAATCGGCTGATAACATATCTAATACTTTATCTGCCAGATATTTTTATCCGAGACCTGTGAAACCAAAAGTTGTAGTTTATCTGGCAGATAAGTTCCTGATAGACTATCAGGGACTTTATCAGCAACCGGTGAAACCGGCCCTTAGTCTTATCAAACTGTTTTCAAATTACTTTTAATTTAAATTTTATCCTATCAAATTGTGAAAATAGATAACATAAGTAAAGTTATTACATTTCAGCATATTTATTTCTTAGTCTACATAAGACTATAGAATAATATTAACCCATACCTAAATTAAAGTTAGATTTTTTTTATTTAAATACGCTGAAAAATATTGTACTTTAACATAAACTCAGTAATACTTCATAAAATAAATGATGTTGATATTACTTCCTTAGTGTTTCTTATCTACCTCTATGGCTTACACGCTGGTTTCAAAGGATCGTCAACCCTCAGGTTATATTTTCTGCTAAGTCAAAATAGAAAATTATAGTTACTATGTTGACTCGTGTCTAGATGGTTATAGTTATTTCATTATTTCTGATTTCTACAGACATTCTACATACAGGGACATCTGCCTCACTTAGAATCTGAGCAATATATATTGTCTATTTTAGATAAAGTGGTGATAATTGTATATTGTTTTTTTTTAATTTGATAATTATTTATTTTTAGTATAATTTTGTCAATCAATGGCCTACGGTAAGATAAAACAAACTGTCATGGATGGTCTATGTCACTTTGTTCCACAAACAGTTTTCTAAAAATAGTATTTTACTTCCAATTTGACATGGTAAAAAAAAACTAGATTGAAAAATCTGAATTCATTAAATTCATAAAACAGGGTTTATTCTGATAGGAGAAGACAAAACGCTAGTTCCAGGAGCAATATTGTGGATCAAAAAGAATTAAGCGACCACCGTTATTAATACATTGAACCTCCACAATACCCGGAGGATTTAATTCGGATGATATCTGGGGCCCACTAATTGCCAGCCATCTTACGAACGACGCCGGAGAAATTGTTTTTAATGAAATTTAACGAAAAATTCTCCATAAAGTCGAGCGATGGAATTTTTTTTTCCTCCCCTTGGATCCAATTAGAGAAAATAATTTTAGATTATGTTTGGTAACGAGATTCGCGAACTTGTTTGAACGAATTTTTTTAGGCCGCTCAATTACAAAACAAATTTCCTGTAGAATAGGATTGCTTTTTAGATGTACCTATATAACTATGTATGTAATAAGGTAAGCTACCATTAAATTTTATTAATGAATGAATGTACATGTTCATGAGTAGCAAAAATCTTTTAATAGTTTTTTTATTATTCGAAATATAATAAGGACATGCATGGCACCGGAGAAAACACAGGTTTCTGTGTGAACCAAAATGACAAATCAAATAGTAAATAGTGGTTGCAATCGTAACATTTTGATTCCCCATAAATCCCCAATCCCATTTTCAGTGCAGGTTTTCGGGATAAAATATAACCTATTAGCTTCCTAGGGTTTTAAACTACTCAAATACAAAAGCAAAAGAAGTTCCATATAAACGTTTTCACTTTTTTTAAACACATTAGATGTGAAAATTACACTTCTACGTGATAAGACGAATGTACCCTCCAAATTTCAAGTCCCTACGACCAGTGGTTTAGGCTATACGTTGTCTTTGTAAATAATATTATTCAATCATTCCCTTTAGGGTAACATAAAAAAAAGGACTTAATTAGCACATTTTAAATGTATATATACTGATAGCTTTGGTTTGCGATATTGCTAAAATACAAAAGAAAATTAAATAAATTAAAATAAATTCAAAAACTTAAACACGATTACAGCTTAATCAAGCGCTTTATAGTTCGAAATAATAATTTTAGATGTATTTTATAGCGATAGCCATATTAAAATGACCAAAGGACAGCGTAGTCGTATGCGACTGATCATAACAAAACAAACTGATTTGACTTGTTTCAAACATTTGAGAGCGCGATTTAGGTGTAGTCGGTTTAAGTTTTTGAACTAATTATTGTATACATATGTATAGATAAGTTGGTACGCAGATTCTTCTCAAATGTGAACTGTTATGGAGGATTTTAGTCACTTTGATAGAATACGTATCCCTCTGTAGCGTGGATGACCTCTGCTGCATCTGTTATAGCATTTTTAACAGTGCTGCCGAAAGTAACGATATTATATACCATACCTACTATATATACCACGGACGAAGTTGCGAGTGATCTAAAGCTAGTTTTTCAACAAACCAATAACCTACCAATAAAGACGTACCACAGTAAACAAACATAAATATGCCACCATAAATATTGTAATATAAAAAAACAACTATATAAAGTATTGCTATGCGCAAATCAATCATGCCAAAACGGTTATGCCGAAGTATATTATAAGTAAGAACATTATACTAAAAAGGGTTCCCAATAAAATTATGGCATCCTTAACCAAAATTAACCTGTTCAATACACCAGTGAAAATGAGCTTTGAATAAGAAATTCAGTATATTCAACTAGAATTGTTTCTCAGTGGAGTGTGATTTTTATTGCTGAATCTTCGAAGATAACATGTTGGATATTTTCTTTATTATACAGTACTGTCACGTTTCCAATACAAAAGTGTTGAATAAACAGGTAACACGAGGTTAAAGCACCGTCTGCCAAAAGTTTGGAACTTTCATGAAAATTTAGAGGCGATATTGAACGTCAGTTCTTAGAAGAAACGCTTATTAGATCAAAATTATGATTGAGAGCTGATACGAAACAAAATAATGGGTAAAGTTTTGTATTACTCGACAGTAACTCGTTATAAAGAGGTATAGACAATGTTTATTTTCAGAATAACATAGAATTTACTTGTTAATTAATTTTCGGGTTCAAAGTCTATAAGACAATGTTATAAAATGTGTTTTAAAGGATACTCACTCTGTTTGCCATTTCGTAACAAGAATTTAAATTTTATTTATTTATTAAATGTTATAATCAAACTGTAATTATGTTATACTTACGTCATTAATCAGCTAATTTGATACGGCTTATTAGATTACATATTTACATGAATAGTTTAAAAGTACGTTCGTTAAACTATTGGTTACTTAAGGTTGGTCGTTACTTAACACTCACCAATACACACTGGATCCGCGTGGTGATTTAATCTATTTTGATTCCATCCTGAGTAACTCAAAGGCATAGTAGATAAGCGCCGCGCCTCGCGTCAATGTTGCTAAGCATCTTTCGCAAGGGTCGGTCACGGGATGGATGACCAAAACATCTCGGGCATCTCTATGCTTCATAAAGCATGTTAAGCCATTGATCCCGGCTGCATTTGTATTGGAGTAACAATGTCACATCACTAGAAGGATGTTACCATAGAGGAGTAAAAACGATGTAAGATGTCTTCCTACTTGGTCTATGATGTCTTCCTTCGTGTGCGGTGTGTGTTAAGTAAAACGATGTGAGTCTAAATGTTAAATAAAGAAATATATGCAGAAGATTGATTTCCTTAAATTCACTATCCTCCATCCATAACCGTCAACAGGTTATGGG